CTCTACTCTCCAGTTGCTCCTTTCCGGACGACTGGAAACAAGCCACGGTTATCGGCATTCGCAAGCCGAATAAACCAGCCAACCAGCCCTCTAGCTATCGTCCCATCAGCCTCCTCAGTTGCCTGGGGAAGCTCTACGAGCGGCTCTTATTAAACAGGCTCAAAGAGCACGTATTTTCCAACGGCCTTCTGCCCACGGAACAATTCGGCTTTCGAGCTAGACACTCTTGTCCCGACCAGTTATACCGCCTAACGGAGCACATCCTAAAAGGCCTAAACCACCCGAAACATATCAGTACAGGGGCTCTTTTCTTCGATGTCGCAAAGACATTCGACAAGGTCTGGCACAACGGCTTGCTTTACAAGCTGTACACACTCAAAGTGCCAGATAGGCTCGTACACACCATCCGGGCCTTTTTGTTGAATCGCTCCTTTCGATATCGAGTCGAGGGCACCCTCTCCACAAGCCGCCTTCTCACGGCCGGCGTACCACAAGGCTCCTGCCTCTCACCTTTGCTCTTTACGCTCTACACGAGCGACATACCCAAAGACCCCCACGTCAATCTCGCGCTTTTCGCGGATGACACCGCGCTCTTTTATTCAGACCGCAACCTTAGAATACTAACCACTCGACGCCAAAGCGCCGCCAACCGCCTCGGCGATTGGTTCCGCAAATGGAGAATAGAAACAAATCCCGAAAAGAGTGTGGCCATTCACTTCACACGAAGTACTTACCCGTCACATCTTTATAATGGCCCTCGCCAATGCAGAAAGTTGGGGCAAATATCCCTTTATGGCCAACCGCTCCCCTGGGAGAAAAAGGTCAAATACTTAGGAGTCACTTTCGACTCGGGTATGTCATTTACTACGCACATTAATAACGTTCGTAATAGAGCCGCGTTCGTCTCCGCCCGGCTACACAATTTAACTAACGCTAAAAGTAAAATGCCCTTAAGGCACAAATTATTATTATATAAGACCTGCGTACGACCTATTATGTCCTACGCATGCATGATCTTCGCCCACACGCACCCTACTCGCTTGTACAAGCTGCAAATAGTACAAAATAAGTTCATCCGCCGGTGCAACCGGTGCGCAGTGGTATCAACGCAACGTCGATCTGCACAGCGATTGCAGACTCCTGACGATTCGCGAATATTTCAAAGATCTGACAAAACGGTTCTTCGATAGAGCCGAACATCATCCCAACCCTCTGGTGGTAAGCGCAGCAAATTACCAACCCGACACAAACGCGAACGTTAACAAGCGTCGCCCGCGAAACGTCCTCATCGACCCGGTCGAGGAAGGGGACTTAGATACGCCGGACCCACCGCCGGGGGTCCCGCCGGATAACACTACACCCACAGCTAGTGTACCAACAAACACAATAGTTCGCCCTCGCCTCCGAGCACGGCGAGACCAACACAACGCGTACACAAGGTACACCCGCGTTTCAGGGCGGTTCTCACCGCCCGCAGCCACCGATTAGCTAAAAACACAGTCGACGGCCATCGGGGTCTCGGTCCGCACCGCAACTTCGATGGCCCTTAGATGACATGTCGTAGTTAAACGCACGCATGAGCACATGCGCGGCCCTACCGACAGCGGAGGGCCCAAACCCGTGGGTTCTGGCTAGCCAGCCCACCGGTTCTGCGTCAGATGAAGCTTTAATAGTCTCGGGACTGAAAGCAAAAACATCAGTTAATACAAGATACAAGGTCCCCGGACGAGGCTGCCCATTCTTGCAACGGGAGAAGCTGCTGCGTAGCCCTGCCACAGCTGGACCACAGTGATATAACCAACTTGTCACGATGAGCTCGCGTGGCGCGCGTTGCGACACCTGTCGGCACAATCTCGCAACTGGACCGCTCATTTGCCTCGGAACGGGGAAAAGCACGCGCGTTTTGCTAATTCGCGATTGCGTAGGCTTGAGAACGGCAAACATATTTAATACACATACTAGTATTATTTTAAATAGATGACATTTGTTTGAATAATGTTTTAAACTGCTAAAGGTATTCCGTATTTTTTCCCTGATGAAAAGCTACAGTATCTAAGAATAACAAAGGTTGCATTCATTCACAAATGTGTGTAATTTTTTATTTAGAAACCTCAGTATTTAAAATTTAAATCGAAAGAAAACGCTGAATACATGTCATCGTCTCATGTTCGCCGCCCAACCGTGAAGCATGTCAGCACAATAGTGACACTATTAACTACAAACACAAAACATATTACAGTGGTGAATATAAATATTTAAGCTTGGAAAGACACTGATTTCATTTTATGGGCGAATATTGCAAGAAGTGAGCATGCGGTACACCTGATGTTATGTGATTACTTCCGCCCATGGACGCTAACGACACCCAAGGGTTCAAAGAGGCGTTGATTGCCTTTAAAGAAGTTGGGACCCTTAGATACCTCACTCAACAAATGATACAAAAAGTATAATACGATCGACGATGTCAATTAAAATTACTAAATAATGAAAACACGAGGTTTCAAATGTGAGCCGAATAAATATACTGTTAATACTTATTCGAATTCCATTTCTAAATCGGCATAGTATTACTAAACTTTACACAAGCACAATCATAATGAAACTATACTTATAGAATCTGTGACACGAATATGGTCGTGGGAATATTGGCGTAGGAAATATACGGACCCATTTTAGACCCATATAGGCTGCAGTAAGTGAAAACTATTTTAAGAACGCGCAAAAGACTGTCTGAGTGCCATTAAAAAGATCGTAAGTCCTAGATGTATCATTAAAATGCATAACTATGATTATTTATAAATATATTTGAGAATAGCATACGATAGCACGGCCTCACAAAAATTTAACTCGGCATTAACTATACTAAATGAACGCATAAAGAGATATTCACATACGTAGAAATTTCTAAGATATACGGACGTGTGGCAAAAGAGATGCGTACGTAAGGAACACGTAAAATCGTCAATCACCGCCTACCCATTTGCCCGTTGGGCGTGAATGTTTTTGCTGTCTAAATTTGCGTATAGCGCGATAGGCGAACAGATTGCGAGTGAGTAACAGCGATATCTATCAGGCAGTCTGCAAATACATATGTGTCTTAGTGCGCGTGACATCATCGAGCGCGTCGCCAGTGGCGCGGTGACGTCATCGTTGCTGATCTAACCGCCAACCGTCTTCAACAGCAAACACATCGAAACGAAATAATTGAAAAACACGTAAAACATTTACAGTAACAAAAAATTATAAACGAAATAGACTTCACTCGATATACCTAGGCGACAGACTGCGCAAGTTTAAGCATCTTCGTGATGATGATTACAGGTTAGTAAAGAGTGACACGAACAAAGCAGAATTTTTGCTGTCTCTGATGCAGTCTGAGCTGAACCTGAGCTACCTAAATACTTACGCCCGGTTTCTGAAACACTGATCATCGTTGATGTCAACTAATCAGTTGTCAAATGGCTTTTCAAAGGTCCTTTGAGTTGCCAAAAGGATGGTTAAACTCTTGAATTGATCATTCTGATCATTAAGATAATCATTCTAGTCAATTCACAGAGTTTTTTGGCGACTAAAATGAAATTTGAAAAGCCATTTGACAGCTGATTAGTTGACATCTACGATGATCAGTGTTTCAGAAACCGGGCGTGAGTCCAAATGTTTGCTTATACCAAAACAAACACGAATAGAAGCCACGCACTGAGGAATTTGCAGTAATTAAATAATTAGATGATTAGAAACTTTTAAATTTAACGACTTTCTGATCACTTTCTTTCACGTCCGTAGATCGATAGCGTAATCTCTTAATAATTGACTTAAATTTAACTTAAACCGCTAGACTGATGACAAAGGTATATTGCAAAAGATTCATCACAAGACGAGACATTGTTACTTGATTGAGGAACGGAACCTCAAGGAAGGACCCAGAAGGCTTTTAAACAGGTTCGTGATCGGAGATTTTAAATAATATTACGCGAGAAAATCTTACACCGAATTCTTCTTCACGCCTACGAATGCAATGTAAGTCTACCGGGTATAACGTGTCTAGACACTACAATTTTGTATATAACTTAGTTTCGGTCGATACTCTTACCGCGCGAAAACTCACGCACTACGCACTGTGGTCGTTCGAGTGAGGGCTTTGGCGCGGGTCCGCTCGGGCGAAACACGTGCTCGGAGGTCGTTCACGTCGGCAACGTGGCGTCGTGGTAACATAAACATGGTTCGCTGACTGTGGCCACAGATGAAGCGGCCGTTACAGTATTTTTTCTAATTATTGAACGTGGCGGACGGATGTTCAGCCGACGGTATGTAATCACTCCCGAGCAGTCTGTGCGTTGCCAACCTTCTGAACAGTGGAACCCGGTTTCTTGGATCAAATAGGAATGCAAACGAGCAGGCGGTTCACCTTATAACAAGATTCACATGGACGTCTACAGAACCTGGCGGGTTGCAGAAGCGTTGTCAACCGTTAAAGACCCCGGTCGCACTCAACATACGAAACGCAGCAGTATCATACATCCATTTTACGCCAGACCTCCTTTGAGGGTTCTCTGGGAGGGCCATGGTGTTTTCAACAGCCTGCCCAACCGTGCAACAGCGGAGGCTGCGCCATCAGCTCAAAAATGAGAAAATGACAAACTAGCATGTAATTTATCCTATCGCAAATAATTACCGCCGTTGCCGGTACGCTGCGAGAAAACCATGTATGAAACGCATGAAGTTGGTAATCTTCACACCGACGAAAATCTTAACGTATTTCGTCTTTGTTTTTATAACATTTTCAACAATGTTCGGCGTCGTCTATTGTGTTTGCTTTACAAAAAATTACCACTTTTTCATATACCTACATTTTAAAATGACATTTTGGACTTTCTTTAAAATTTTCTCTCCATTCTCGTACTTCAAGGAATAATATAGAAAAAGAATTAGCGGAACCGGTTCGGCTGTTCTAGAGATTTGAGCTTAGCATCAGATTCAGCGATTCATTTTTATATATAGAGATGTCCCACGTTTCGAACACTTTACAGCGTTCCATGGCCACGGAACAGGATGTTTTGTTCGGCCCGAACAAAACTGTGGAGTCGGTCGTAACGACTCCGTTACGACACAAGGCTGCCCACGCTTTGCGGAGTGGAGACGCGATGAACCGACCGCGCCGACCGGCACCGGCACAGGCGGGTGTCCAATTTCATTCATCGCCCGCGCGGACCCCCGGGCACACGCGCAAAGCAATGACCCGACGTGCACTGCGGCCACCCGCACAACTGCGGACTAGGGGTGCCGATATTTTATATTGATATATCGATATTTTTTAATTAAATATATCGATATAAAATGTTCAATATCGAAATCGTATCAAAAACGATATTTTTTTCAAATTCGAATCCGGGACAGAGTCCGTACATTCAAATATTTAATATTTGGCATACGTTTTCGGCATCCCTAATGGTTCGTTACCTACCTATGATATCATCCCGCAGAGTTTCTTTCGCCGGTTCTTCTCTGGTCGATGGCTTTTGTTTTTACGAACCGGTAGTAGTATTTTGACAATCGGATAAGTGTAATTCTTCTATATTGAATTTGGATCGGCACGTCTTTTTCCGCGGCCACGCCCGCGTTTTCGGTTCTAAAATGGAGCAGTCAACTTTTGCGCGATAGCGTTTCGTAGAATACAAGTATGGTAACAATCTATATACGTCCCACAGCTGACGAAAGTCTTCTGTACAGAGCCTCATAGTCCACCACGCGTCCCCACTGCGGATTGGCAGTATTATTTCGAAAACAATGCAGGTTGAAAGTTCAGCACGTGATAAGTCAGCTTTTAATGGTAACGATTTCATTGGTGTCGGTATCACTACGTAGTATAAAACAAAGTCATCCCGCTGTCTGTCTGTCCCTATGTATGCATCTTTAAAACTATGCAACGGATCTTGGTGCGGTTTTTTTTACTAGATAGATTCGTATTCAAGACGAAGGTTTATATTGTACCCGAGCAAAATCGGGGCGGGACGCTAGTATTGAATATAAAGCGATCTAGGAACGCTGATCTGTCCAGTGGGTGTTACGTGGTGGACTATGTCCCAATACTATGTGCACTGAGGAGGCCTAACTAAGCAGTTTAACAGTTAAACATAAGCTCTTACTTTTTAAAAGAAATAATTTAATAATTTATAGTATTTTAAGCCTGTTAGGGGACGCTGGATGACCTTAATATAAGTAGAAAATGCATATATCATTTGGAGATCACCGCCACCCATTGGTTTGGTTAGAATTCTAGATTACAAATCAAGGTGGTAAGCACGGTTACTCCAGACACCGTAAGGAACACAAAAGTATTTCTACTCTAAGTCACTCTCCTAGAGGACCTGGTGCTTGCTTGAGCATCCGTGCATCTCGGGGCAACAGCAAAGACTGCGTGACCCTCACAGACAATATTAATTATAGGTTAATTGAAATTAATAATTGCCAGATAATTTACAAATATGATACTTTAATGTATTTGTAAATAGATAAGATTGATAAGAGAAATAAAGAAAATAATGTTTTACAATAAATTACGGACTTAATAATAAGACGTCTGAACTCACTCGAACTCGTTAAAACGGTGTATGTGTCGACTAGTTTCGCACCCATCGAAGGGAGGTCTTTCGGAAACTAGTCGGTACATACACGGGTTTCACGTGAGTTCAGCCGTCTTATCATTACGTTAATTATGTCACTGTTTTAATAATTTTAAATTAGGTACTATTGCAGAATTACTTGACGGACCATCTCTGGACCATAAAATGGGGTATATGAATTACGCCGAGGTCCCCAGCCACCGCGGCCGAACCGGAGACTGTATATCACACGGACGCACACGCGCGCCCGTGTGTAGGGGCCGTGAAGGGCGTCGCTTACGGAAACCGTGTAGTTTCTCCAACTTACTATGCACAAGTTACGATTCTGAAAGTTCAGCCAACATAGGTGGACTATGATTAATGCGTGAAGTACATGTTGACTGATTTTTTATATCTTTATTTATATAATAATTCTTCTGTACGTGTGAATGTCAGTGAACTCCTCCTAAACGGCTGCACCGATTTTAATGAAATTTTTTGTGTGTCTTCAGGTCGATTCGAGAATGGTTTAGATTCAGTCCGTTTTTTTTTAAATAAGTTGTCGGATTTATGTCCTGTGTACAGGACAACGTCTGTCGGGTCCGCTAATCTATTTATAAAATGATCCTCAATATCGTTGCAAATAATTTGCACACAGGTAAATGAAATTTTCTCTATGGATTTATGGTCACAGGCTGCAGGCTTGTGTCCTGCAGGAAGAAAAAAGCATTCTAATTTCAGTAGAGAATATGGTGGGCAGTTACCAATTTGGTGTACTATAATTTATTAATACTATTATCACAAAGTTGATAATAAAAAATGAAGTGTTTGAAATAAATAGATTTTAAATGTTTAACCAGACAATAAATTCTATAAAAAAGTATCATTTAGAAATAAAAAATTATCTACCTTACCACCTGAGGCCTTTGCCAAGCAGTGAGAAATGCATAGGCTGTTATTATACTTTTATCCCATCAGTCATTATAATATAACCATGTCCATTGACACTTATTTAGTGTGATGATTGTGCTGTGCTATTACTGGCTCATGGTCTTAATAAAGAGATGTCTAGGTATAGATTAGGTCAGCCATGTAGTCCAAAGCTCATAGAATAGGGCTAAGGCATCCCCTACCTGTCGTAAAAGGCGCCTAAAATGGGACACGGATTGGCAGAACGAGTGGTCTCGTGCTGCTGCAAGAGGGCGAGGGAAACAGAGAAGGTTTATACTTCTCCGAGGCGTGCTCACGCACAGTTCCGAAGAACACCGGTGCGTTCCATAGGAGATCCCGGAGTCTCTCTAAACGTATATGGCCACGTAGGTGGCCACCGAGGGGGTTTTAGTAGGGTTTTAGTAAGAACCGCACATAACAATGTAACTGTGACATGTGGGTATCTTTCGAAAAGTTCCTCCCAGATACCAAAAAAAAAAACAAAATTATAGATTAGGTACTTTGGCCCCTCAGTGTATGGACTTCTGTCTAGCAGTGTTTACGATACGAAACACGGTTATCGGCCATATCCTGTCATTTTTTTGATAGCAACTAGATGCCCACTTAGTAAAAATGATCTCGTTCAAATTATGTTTTAGAATATGTTTGTCTTAAAATAAAATGTGTTATGCTATTTACAAATTCAATTAAATGTCACTATGATGTTTAGAAGCATTAATTAATGAGTGTTTAATAAAAAGTAATAAGGGACAATTTGAGGTCAAATCAATCACATATGAAACCATTATAAGAACTTATTAAAGTTATAGGCGTTTACTAAGAAATAGAGAACCTTAGGCATCAACAACAATAACACGAATAGCCTATCAACCATGTGTTACTGTAAACTACAAAATAATCAATCAAAATAACGAGTTATTGCTCACAATTTTCATACACCTGTTCTAATGCACATGAAGAACATATTTACATTGCCATTCGTAACTTGCTTACGTAATAATTACTCAACCGACTCATCAAACACATCAACTGAATGTATTAACCACAAACTCCCAAGCAACACTCATCTATAATGCAATGATAATAAACACTGCAACTGCATGAAACATTATGAATAACAAGCATCAACCTGTTTTGCCACTACTATATATAATTGGCTGCATTACAGTTTCACTTCCTTAGATTATAAAGATAATTTTGCAATCCAACGTCACGTTCACTATGCATAGTACCTGAATGAACCGAAAGCTCTCTATGAACATTAAAATTTCACTGTCCTGATCATAGATAAATTGAACAAACTATTTTTAAAGATAAAAATTCTTATCATATAAAATTCTCCAAAAAATGAAAATTGCTTAAATTTCAAAGTAAAAACCATATTCAGAAACATTAATTATCATGTCAAAATAGTAAGACTTAGGCATTAATATCAATTGAGAAATGTGTTACACAAATCATGTTGATATAACATTAAAATAAAGAGTGTAAATAATTATCCTTACTAATAAAGATGAAAGTTTGTATGTATGAATGGATGTTTGTTACTCTTTTACGTTCTGTTCTTGTTACGCAAATACTACTGAATGCATTTTAATGAAACTACAATTATATAGCTTATACATCAGAATAACACATAGGCTATAATTTATATAGATACTAGGTCTTCACCCGCGGCTTCGCTTGCGTTGATGCCCTTAAATAAATATCTTACTCTAAAATCTAAATATATTTTTAAAGAAAGATTGAAAAAAAATTATTTCCAACCCTTAACAACACTTTTTTCCAATTAAAAAATAGCCTATGTCCTTTCTCAGGCTCTAGACTATCTGTGTACCAAATTTCATTTAAATTGGTTCAGTAGTTTTGGCGTGAAAGCGAGACAGACAGATAGAATTACTTTCGCATTTATAATATTAGTATAGATTTTTATGTATATCTGTCTTTCTGTCCGAATATTACGCCTTCAGCCTATTCCACGCACCTTACCATTGTGAAATAATATAGTTTTTAAGACACCATAACATGAAACTCTGCGAGAAGTTTTAATATACTGCCGCCGGAAGTGGTTTTAACTTTCGGTGGAAAACCGAAAAAAAAAATGGTTCACACATCTACAAATAATAGGTGAATAATAAATAGGTCGTAAATGTATAAAAAAAATATTCCGACGAATTAAGAACCTCCTCTTTTTTGAAATTGGTTAAAAAGACTGGAGCACTCGAATATCATTTCCTTACAGAGACAAAAGACCTAATGATCATTGCTTTCCTGCACAACTTTACTGAATCGCTGGTCCCTCTTTCACAATATTAATATTCAAAGTTATAAGAATAAATGTAATAAATAAGATGAGCTAAGTTCTAATTTCATTTTTTCTCAAAAATAAAAGATTTCTGTTCTCTAGAAGTTTATTCTGCTTTTTAGTGCTGTTTTACCTTTAATTTTTATATGTTAATTTGTTTTTTTATATGTTAAAATGTGACAATATTTACTTTTAAGTTAAACCTAGGTATTTGTTTATCGATTTTCTGTATGTAAATGGGAAATAAAATTAATATAACAGCTTGCATTGTTCTTATGCATTCATTTTCAAATTTCATACCAAAGAGCAAAAACATCCTTAATCTCATTTGAAATATGTTTTTTTTTAACTTTCTATGCAACTAGGTAATCCCAAAGTGAAATATAACACTAGTCAACACTATTTTTTCCATCTGGATAGAGACATAATAGGTTATCTA